AGTGTCACTGGCCCTCATATGTGGGATCCGAACCGGGGCCCTCTGGCGTCCCAAGCCAGTTCTTAACCATCGCGCCACTCGGCCGGCCCAGAGCTCGGATTCTTTTGATATCTTTATTACCTCATATTTCTTCATCATTTCACTCCTCCCTGTCGTCCTCCTCCACCACACCCAGGTTCCCAACCCTCCAACCCAAAATGTGACCACATGGAGCCCTCGAGGTCCATCCTGCCCCTCTGTCCCTTACAGCCTTAGCCAGCCAGCCCCACTTCCTCTCCTTGGGGTGGGCTCTAGGCTCTCATTAGCTTTCCAGTCACGCAAAGAACCTCACATCCCTTGGGCACCCAGACCTGGTCCTACCATCCAAAATGTCCTCTGGACAGGACAGAGTGAGAAAAGAGGAACACTCCAGTGGTCTTCCTTCTTGTTTTAATTCCTTCATTACTTCCAAAAGGCTTCACTCCTCTGCCTGCCCCCAGTGCATTCACTTCAGGGAAGAGTGTGCCTCCTCCGCTTCCCCTGGCCCTCAGAGGGAAGGTCATGCACATCCTAAATTCCGAGCCTTCATTCAACAACTATTTAGTGAGCTCTTACTCCACATCCATTTCAGTGGTTTTTCTCTCCTGGCTCCCTCTAGTTTCTATCCCTGAAGCCTGCAGAGTGTCCCCTGAAGCTGGTGGGAAGCCAGACAGGCATCACTGTTAGAACTGAGGACACTAGAACAAGGAATGGCTGAGCGAAAATGCCGAGGCTGAAGCGTGAATTATAGTCGTAATCAAGAAAGTGACAAGTGCCATAAACTAAGAATTCTCATTTACTTGGCCTCATGTCTTTATTCAGACAGTCTCTCATGACATACTATAAAAGTACTACTGTGCTAGACAATTCCAAGGATAGACATGAATCAAAAGATTTAAGGAAGAAAAAGCCATCACTAAAATAATTAGAGACAGTTTCGGGAGAGCGGGTTAGCAAACAGGCATGGAGTCACCGCTGTGCTCAGGGACCACTGTGGGGCCAGAGAGTGGGCGTTGGTTGGCCCAGACAGGCACTGTGGCCTGGAGGACCTGAAGTGTGTGGACACCGAGAGGGCGGGGAGAATCAGGAGACGAGAACTTCTCATCTCTTCCCCAGCATCCCCTTCGCTGCATAGGCTTCCGCTGTGACGTGTGGGGGAGCAGGGAGGCATTAGTCTTTGTGGAATTTCGGTTGCCAATTGATCTTCCATAATGTAATTTAGTTCCTGTTGGGTTTTACTAGAGAGTGTTTATAGCTGCGCATCTATTACCTAATGCGTCTGGAATACCACCAAAGGCTGGCTTGGGCTGGGTACGTCTACAAAAGCCTCAGCCCTTTGCTCATCGCACAGACCAAAACACTCTCGACACAACGTTTGTGGGTCAGATGTGTCCAGAGACCTCCCTTGCCTGTGCAGAGGGAGCTGGCAGATTCCTAAACTGACACAGATCCGTCAGTCGGCACCAGTTCAGGCTTCAGATAGATTCTGTGGCCAAGCCTGGGGAGGGGAGGGAGTTAGTTTGTGTTAAAGCAAGAAAGGATTTCTAGAATAAAGGGAGTTTTCTTTTCCCTGGCATTCAGTCTGCTGGTTGCCTGCAGTTTTCACCCATGTCCAAGCCATGGTATTATCAGAAATAGGAGTTAAATGTTAGCAAACTTGTGCTCCGCTGCTTTGGTGAGCAGCTACGGGAGGGCATCAGGGAGGTGAACTCTGAGAGACCATATCCCTGAGTCTCACAGGATGGACACAGGTGTGCCAGGTGTGCAGGAAGGGATGGACACTGCCTGTGCTCAGTGTATATTTCAATAGATCACTGATTCCAGACAGATAAATGGCATGTACAAAGGCCCAGAGTTACTAGAAAGAGAAGGAAGAAAATTTTCCATTCCCAAAAGTAATTCTTGGAAATTCTGTTAAGGGTGATTTTTTTAATATACTGAAAGAGATTTCACCTGAGGAGAACCATGAAAGTCTTAATTTACCTCCTAAAAAATATCGTCTGCATAAATATAAAATGCATAAAGGGTAAAAAACTGAGGGATTCTGACCAGGTGATAGTTTGGGACTGAGTGTGGCTGCCTGGGATTTGAGCCCAGATCTGTTTACACCTCCATCCGTGTTTCCTCAGCCCGAGCCCAGGTGACAGCTCTGTCCAGCTCTGCCTCGCCGTGGCCTCCTTCCTTTCACTAGCAATGTCTCTGTAGCCACCATAAGAGACTGCACAACCCTCGAAGGTCCTCGAACCAGCATTAAGGGGGAGAAAAAAGGAAATGAAGGCGATTTTGCTGTGGGAATGAAGCGTCCATCTCTTCCCACCTTTCCAGTGAAAATCTTCCACAAAGCCAGAACTAGAGAAATTAAGACAGATGCAGCCAGCCTTTTTTAATCTTGGCCAGGTGTCCTTATGTAGCCAGGACCCAATTTCTCAGGAGAGAGCATTTGTCTAGTTCGGATCAGGAAAGTTTATGAAGGGGTCCAGCTCTAAGGGTGACTGTTAATGCAAGTGATAGGAAGCCAGAAGCGTCCTCAAAACACATCTAAAGGAAGCACCGGGAGGTCCTCTCTCCTTTCTCTCTTCTCCCTTCTGCTCTCTCAGCTCGCCTCCTACAGAGGATGGACAAGTCAGGAGGAAGATGTGCTCTGGCCCGTGTTAGCAGGAGAGGAAAGCTTACTCAGCCTGGATGGAACTGTATCCAGCAAAACAGTCCCTCTGACCCTGGTTAATAAACACTCAGCTGACGGAGGGGAATGACTAGTGTGCTGTTGAGGTTGGACGTTCTGGCCCAGGCTCAAGCTCCAAACAACAGCCCCTTGTTTCTCCCTCATACTTGTACATTGGTTATTTTTGCATATCTGTCTTTTCATGTTCTGGGTCTTTCTACACAGGCATAATTCGTTGTTTATTTCTTATGCTGTATTTGGGGGTTTTTCTTCTCCACCCTCACCCCCTTCTAGGTACATTCATTAAAACTTGCCCTTGAAGGTGTGGAAAAGGAAAGGGATTTCTACTTCGGAAAGTTGAGAGAGATTGAGCTACTCTGCCAAGAACACGGGCAGGAAAACGATGACCTCGTGCAGCGACTAATGGAAGTCCTCTACGCTTCAGACGATCACGTAAGTCCAAGGAGCCCTTGGCTCTTGTGTTCAGAGGTGACACTTGTGGTCGAAGTACCGTGATCGATGTGCCTTAGGATACTGCCCTGGGACCTCAGTGGGAGTTACGGCTCAGCCAGTGCATTTGAGATTCCCAGAGGAATAAACAGCAGTGTCATCTGAGCCATTGAACCAGGCCTATGGGACATGCACCCATAAATTAATCTAGAAAGAGATAGATGGGTGGATGTGTGTGTGTGGGAGGGGGGAGGGGGGTAGAGGGACTTGACTGAGAAAAGTAGGCTTGTGCAGCCAAATCTCAAGTGATTTTCAGCTGTCTGAGCAAATGAAAGGAACAATGTGTGTAAGGGTTGTTTCTTCATGAAAGATCAGAGTGTGGTTAAAGGAGAAATTGATCTAGACGCTTTTTTCATCCCCCATAAGCCCCACAACTGTCTGTTTTTATTTGATAGCTGGTTGTCTTGGTTACTCATTGCCAGTACAGACCAGCACTGTGGGACAACCCTTTGTTGAAAAATACTTCTAGAAGGGCCTCCTCTGGCGGGGGGACCTGCCCACTGGGGTTGCTACTCATGAGTGAGTGTGCGGAAGGAGACCCAGAGTGCGGCTCCATCCAGTGATGGAAAGCAGATGTGAGGAGCAGTGGAGGAACAAGAGAAGCAAGGAGGGGAAAGTCTGGGATAAATGGCAGAGACCGAGGCAGGTCACCCCACGTCTGCCGGTGACGGGAGGGTAAGACTCCAGCAGCTGGCCGCAGGAGTGGGGGCCTGATGGGTCATCACCTTCCACAGGGCCGCGCTGGAAGGTGAGAGAGGACGTGCTGGGGTTTCGAGCTTCCCCTCACGCCAGGCTGAAGCTGGGAGAAGTGCTTGCATCTGTTTGTCCGGGAGGCCTGCGGATGCTCTGAGGGCTCTGTGGTTGAGTTGCATGTGTGTTAGTATTTCCGCAGAATGCAACAAGTCACTGGCAAGTTTACTTTGTCTTATTTCCGGCTGAATACCAGGCAAATGTTTACTCCGTGTAAGATTAAAAATCCTAGCTATGAATTTTTCCTCAAGTATAAGAAACCGTCTGGGGTCTGGGGACACATCACCACTTTTTTCATTTTCCCCAGATAGTTTTTCAACTTCTTTCTTGGTTATCATTAGCTCAGACTATAGATTTGGAAGCCCTGAGAAACTGTCAGGTCAAGACCCAGAGACAGCGATGGCCTCACAAAATATGGTTCTCAAGATGTTCAGCTCTGATGGAAGAAACCAAAGGTTGATTTGTCATGTGTATGTGCCACCCAAAGTGGCATGGACATAAAGTTCTGGATGTAGACAGTTCTTTGTAGTCTGGTCACGCTAGATGAATTGAGGTTATTCTCCCCACAAGCGTGTTAGAGGCTAAATGCGATGAGGTCTGCACAGCACTACAAGCCTGAGTGAACAGTGCTGCCGTGACAGCGCCCGTTCACCGGGAGGAAGGCAACACGCAGGATTACATCTTCTTAGCCCTGTGCTTTCAATGGGAGAAAAAGCCTGGTTCCAACTTGGAGCCAGATCTTATCCCAAGAGGGAGTCCCTGTGTGGGACACCAGCAGGTGAGCTCCAAATTAACAGTTGCCATGGACTAGTGACATCCTAGCTAATGGCAGGCCAGACTCACCTTAGCCAAGTGTTCTTGCCTCCTGGGTCTGCCTAAGATGACTACACTCAACTTCTCTTCTACCATTCACATGACCATCAGCACCCCCACCCCAACCCCACACACCCCAACTTGCTGCACTCTGGATTCAGAGAGCCATTCTTTCAGTGTCTGGGCAATGAATGCAGACACCCCAAGCAGAAGTAATACTTTAAAGCGTTATCAGTCATTAAGTCTGAATAATGGGTTTAGCAGGTCCTTTCCTAAACGCTTGGTTATTATGCTCTCCTCACCTTACCACTCTTAACAAGTTGCTTCTCTGGCAATTTAAGCCTGAATCAGATGAGTCATAGATTATAACAAGGGGACTACTTCAAGCAGGCATGCTACCAGTTAAGAAGAATGACAACAGGAAACAGGAAGCAGATCAGAAGTTCCACATCACGGGCAGTTCATGTCACGGTGACCATCTGACACACTGCAGGGGCCTGGGGCTCTGTGCTGTGTCACAGCAGATTCACTCATGGTTCTCATGATGTTCTTCAGTCATTGCATTCAGTTTACTCTTCTACAGAGGAAAATATGTAATAGGTTCTGTGAAGATTTCCTTCCAAAACAGAAGGAAAAGTTTGGTGCGTCAAGCCTGATGGCTGTGCTCTAGATGGACCCGTTCTTTGATGGAGCAGGGAAGCGAAGCCATCCCCTAGTGTATGCATTGACTCTTGCGAGTAGGAGGCACTTGCATGGTGACTTGTCCCTAAGCCCGTATTCCCCACAGCCTGGAGACGCCATGCTGTGCAGTGATGATGGGGTTCAGGGCACTGCAGGGCCTCTGACACAGTAAATTGTTTCACCTGAAACTTCTCCCCATAACCCCGCAGGAAGGCCACCCAGAAGAGCCGGAAGCAGAGGAGCAAGTCCATGAACAGCAGCCCCAGCAGCAGGAAGAGTACTGAACCGTCTCGGCAGCTCTCGACACTTCCATTTTGTGTGGGAACTTTTCTTCTGGAGAATTGGAACATGTGTGGCCTCAAGCTCAACAGAAACCAGTTGTTCCCAGTCTGCCAGTAACATCAACGCACTGTCGCATATGCCAGCCACTGCACTCAGTTCCCATTTCCTTTGCCAAGACACATTAGCAGCCGACCATCTGGCAGCCTACCTGAGAGATCATGGGGTCACAAACTTCACCACTTGGCTACGTGGAATTCGTTCTGCTCTTTTCATTTCTTTCCAGAACAACTCTTCCCACCCCACTACCACCACCAACACCCCCTTTTTATCCTGGTGTGAAACAATGGTAATTTGATATATGGTATTTATATTGGCATTTCTCAACTCAGTGTCACTAGATGTCACACACATTTGTGGTGCTTTGATGTTTTTTGCAAGTCTAACCTCTGAACATAAATTTGGTCACATAATAAATTGGAACAAAGGGAAAGAGATACTTGATATGAAAGCCATAATGACAGTGACTTGTTTCATAGGGAAAAACAGCGTCAGTTCCTCCCTCTACTTGCAACACTAAAGGGGAAAAAAAAGAATGGAATCAAAACTAGGACTTCAGGGCCCAGCAGTGTTCATACATTAGCATGTTAGACAACCATGCAGTGTGTTGTTAGTTTTAAAGACATTCACTCAAGGAAAACACCATCTCAACTTGGCCCTCTAACTGATTTTCCCTCCCCTCCCCCCACCAGGTTCCCATGCTGTTTTCTTTCTCAGGGTCCTCTTTTGTGGGCAACCACTCTCCCCAAGAAGCTATCATCAGTTATCTGCAGTCCAGAGGGGGTCTGCATAGGTACAGGTCTTCCTGCCTCCTTGTGTGAGTTTCCACGCCAATCCTGTCATCTACACGAGGGGCCTAAAGAATGACTTCGGGGTGTGCAGCCCCGAGTGTCAGGGTTCTGCCTCATGCTGTACACTTGCTAGAAGTGAAGACCTGATTAATAGGAGCTTAATTCCAAGGGAGACTCATGATTCTGAAGTCTGGTGTTGACACTGAAGTGACAGCACAGGATAATCTATGTATGTGACTCCCAATACCTTCTGGAATAAGGCATTTCCCCTCTTTAATACTGCAGCCTCCTTGTCCTTGACCTTTGCTAAACCATGGCAATTCATAAATCAAGGATACATTAACAAATTAAAAGCATTCCTTATTTTTTTAACTGATATTTGCACATTTTCTTAGTATCTTTCCAAATCTTTGCCTCTATTTTTTTGTTTTTCCCTTTGACAGATGGGATCCCTTCCTGGATCATTCAGTTCACTTGGTTTCTAACTTTAAATTTACCTTCACTTGTTATTTGACTTAGCAGGTGCCACCAAAACAACAAACAAGTATGCCCACCCCCACTTTCCTCTTAACTGAAAAGCTTCAAATAAATTTCTGAATTCTGTATCATACAGCTTTGACCTTTCTTTATTAATTGATGAAGTACCGATTCTAAATTCTGGCATCGAAGCTTTCCACCAAAAGACGTCTTCTCAAAATAAATCTTTTGCAGCAAAGTGGTATTTGAGTTATATGTGAAAAAGATTGCTTGTATTTTTGAGGTTATTACAACACACTGTGCAGAATGGACAGATGTTCCGTGGTGTTCGGTTCCCCTCTCTTCTCTCTCCTGCTTGCTCTGCGCTACAGCAGTAGCTCCTTTCTCTTAGGCTGGAAAGCCTGGCTCTCAGCAGTGACATCCTCCCACACCTGGTTACAGGTAGTGGTTGTGCTATAAACAGCACTGTGCTTAATGGTGTGTTCCCCCAAGTCTGTTGCACTCACTGAGTTTCCTTTTTTTAAAAAATAAGTTTTATGAAGAGGCACAATAAATAATTTCATGCAGATTACACTTCAGTGGTTTCTCCACAGTTCTTCGCCTGCCCTGGACAGCTCAGTAATACCCAGTGCCAGGTGCCTAGGAGCCAAACTCCTGTCATGTGTGCGTACACGATTACTGTGTAACTTGCTTAAGCCTCACCAGTGACAGCTACTCCACCACTCCATTTCCTCCCAAATCTCCAACCTTCTCAGCTGTAAACATACTGGCCAGAATGCATCCAAAGATATCCATCTTCGTTCTCCTTCCCAGAGTCTTGGGGCAGACTATTCATTTATTTAGAGAAGACCTGTAAACTCCTCTTTCGGTCCCCATCTGAAACATCGCCCATTGCGCTGCATCACATGTGATCGCACTGAGACCTTGGGGAATCTTAAACAGCTAAGTTTCTCAGTCCTCTTTGGCTGCAGCTCTTCTGTGCAGATCACCTCTCGTTGGCCAGGCGCTGCCACTTTCTTCCTGACGACTGTACCCCTTCGTCCCCTCATCGCGGCATCCAGGGCACGCTTGCCTCCATTCCCTCCCCCCATCATGCGTCATCACGCTGGGCTGAGACATCGCCCCGTAGGTGTGCTACTCCCTTTCAGAAGCCGACTTCCTCCTTAGTCCCCCCCTCATACCTGCTGTGGCTGGTTATAGCACTTCCACTGCTCATGTCAGATGGGAAGTGATCGAAGCAGGGGGCAAAGAGAGAGCCCATCTTCTAAGCAGAAAAGCAGAAAAAGAAACACCCTGTTGACCCGAGAGAAGTTAAACTCCAGAAGGGAACCAAGAACTCCTCCCTTCCCTGGTGAGTATTTCCATTATTCCGTTAAGGTTTAATATGCATTCAAATTACTTTTACTAAATAGTACACCATAAAGCTTTTGTTACATATTAAATGTAAACTGAAAGGAATGTAAACATATGTATTGTTAATTATAAATATAGATAAGTAATGACATAATAGATGAAAAGGTCTTATTCAGATGTATTACATTCATTTTACATTACCCACCTACTGTCGCATGGTAGAATAGCTTTTTGTCTCTGAATATGTGAATAACTTGACTTGCAGTTATCTTTTTACATATTTAATAAAAAAAGGTATATGTTAAAATCGGCTTGGATCTATAGATTCTTACATTTTTATGCGAAAGGTTGCCTTTTGAGTGAGCATGTAT